AAATGTCTAAATTAATAACAAGATAATTCGTATTGATATTGGTTGCGGGTATTCCCGCCTGTCACGCGGGTGACCCGGGTTCGATCCCCAGCAACGGCGCCAAAAAACTTGACAGCTTATTTTCGCAAGTGTACGAATCGCTACAAGTAATATATGATGAGTATGATATCGTTCCTTCGATGATTGTATTCCAATTACCAAAATTATGTTATCTCGTTATTATTTAAACGATAATTGAGAGAATTGTTTTGTAATTATAAAATGAATGAGTAAAGTAAACAAAAATTGATTAAAAGAAATCAAGGAATTGAAACTACTAGGGGTTTTGATTTCACTTAATCCTATCCAATTTATTTCATTAGTTCATTCTCCTATCCAATTTATTTTCATTAGTTCATTGTCAATTTAATTATTCAAGTAGGGGAACAACGCCAAAAATCACTAACAAGCTCTCCGATGGTATGTTAGCTATTTTAACTCGAATCCTAATTACCTATCTTCAAAATAGTGCAATCCAACATGAATTAAATCATTAAGTTTATGGTTTGTTTTGTGAATTTCATAAACCTAAGGTCATTAACTTATGAAAACCCCCCATGAGTCAAACCGATAGCTGTCCGCAATCAAGTATTATTCTCATGTGTTTTATTAAAACCTTTCATATCAAAGATCCTTCTTCCGATAGTGATAATTGAAATAAATCAAAATCTAGGGGAAAATTTTGGCTAGAAAGCATTAAGTTCATTAATAATCATAATGAATAAGGAAAAATAAATCTAAATTTGCATTAAAATTGGAAAAGAGATTAAGCTACATCAAACGCCTAGTATAAGAATTTAGTTACACATAGTACTTAAATAAAACCAATAGATTCCTTGATAAAATATTCCATAATCAATAAGATAATGAAAGAAATAAACAAGATTTAAGAGTTTTAGAAATAAGAACTAGTGATGAATTGCTTGGATGACTTCCTTGAAACTTTGCACACTCTTGAATACTTAACTTCTAAAAAATAAACTAATATAACAAAAACTAATAAAATGAGAGAAAGATGGAGAGTTGGTAGGTATGCCATCTTTTAAAAAACAAAATTGCCCCCCCCATTTTCCCCTTTTTCTCTTCTTTTATATAGACTTCTTGGGAGAGAACTTCTAACATTGTTTAAAGGAATAAATTCCACCTTGTTTATGGAATAAATTGCCACCTTGGTTTAAAGCGGAAATACAAGGCTCATCTAAATCAAGCCTTGATTTCCTCTCAATTATGTCTTCCATGTGCATAATTAAGCTTGAATTTTGTATGTGAAAGAAAAGTTTGTCCCCAAGATTAAGCTCCATAAAATGGTGAAAGTTAGTTGGCAACTTTTGACCTAAGTTTAGGATTCTTTGCTTGGCACGGGCGTGCACTGTAGCACGGCTGGGGCGTGACTCCTCTGGAAAGTCCTTTGCAATAAATTGGTGGAAGTTGGTTGGCAACTTTTGACTAAGTTTAGGATTCCTTGCTTGGCACGGGCGTGCACTCCTCTGGAAGTCTTATGCAATAACAGCACGGGCGTGCTGATTAGCACGGGGCACTGTAGCAGCACGGGCGTGCACTGTAGCACGGTCTGGGGCGTGCACTTCTCTGGAAGTCTTATGTAATGAAGCACGGGCATTGTAGCTGTAGCACGGGCACTGTAGCTGTAGCACGGGCGTGCTACTGTAGCACGGGCGTGCTTAATGAATTTTTACCTCATTTTTGCCATTTTCTTGCCAAACCATAAAAACTAATTTAAATAAATTAAAAGTAATAGAAATTTTATTCAAAATCACAATAAAAATACTATAAAAATAACACTTATCAGCGAGGAGGCGCGGCGTGGGTCTCTAGTCGTCGGAAAAACGAGAGGAGGTGAAGGGCGGGGGTGAAGTCAACGCTGGAGGAAGAAGAAGAAAGGAGAGAAAAAAAGAAAGAAAGAAAGAAAGAAAGTGGGTCGGTTTCTAGATCATTCCGGTTCCATTCGAACCGGTTTGGTCTGATTCGATTTTTGGCTCGATTTGCATATTTTCTAATCCGATTTGATTTATTTTGACTCTTTTAGTTAGGTTCTAGAACATTTCCTCAATTTACTAAATAGTAATAATAATAGATTTTTAGAATAATTATTTTATATAGTAATCACTCACATATACATATACATTTCCAAAGGTTCTCCACTCGGCAATTATTTAATAATACGACTTGGGCTTGAGCCCAGCTCCGTAAACTTGGGCTCGAATTATAATTAAATAGCAGTTGCAGTTCAGACAGTCAAAAATTCAGATTTTTGATTTAATAAAAATTCAAAGGTTTCGAAAATAAAAATTAAGGGTATTTCATATACTAAATCCAATTTATAAAATATAATGTACAACATAAAACAACCAACCCTATAAACCGTGGGCCTTCAACTAATTTTATAATAATTTGTAAAAAATATTTTTAGTTTAAAGTTATCTCGGATTATAAAATAATAGCTCCGATTGTCAATATTTTAAAATACTTTCTAATAATTTGTAAAAATTGGCTGTATTTTATATAGTTACCAAATTACAAAATAATAAGTAAAATTACCGAATTTTTATAATACTTTATATAATAAGTAAAATTACCGAATTTTTATAATACTTTATACTTTTGTAAAAGGTGGTTATTTTTTGTAAAACTGTCAATAACTTGTAATGCTTCCTAATATATAGTACATGGTGATTATTTTCTGTAAAATTTGGTGGTATATAAAATAATAGCTCTAATTACCAATATTTTGTAAAATTTCTAAGAAATTTGTAAAACGATTTTTTTTTATTTATAAAATTCTCGGATTACAAAATAATAGTTCTAGTTACCATTATTTTTGTAATATTTTCTAGAAAGCAACCATTATTTTTGTAATATTTTCTAGAAAGCAGTTGTTTTTTTAAAATGCCGAGGAATTGTAAAATTTATAACTTATTTTATCACATTCTAAGGAATGACCCCCTTATTTGAAATAAATAAATTGTAAGGAAAATGACTATTACATTCCTGTGTATATCGAAAGCAACTAGTAAATCCCTCCATTTCGATAAATATTTTTTGAAGTCTCTGTATTTTACTTTTGTCATAACATTAATTCTCCCATTCTATTTTAATCAATTTGGTCGTTAGGTCAATAAGAAAAGACAAAAATATCCTTATTTTCATATCACATTTTTGTTTTATGTTAAACCATCCCCTTTTTCATTATCTTCATCACCAAAGGTTACTATTTAAACTTCATCCAAACAACTTTAATCAAAAATCAATAAAATATTTAAGATCAAAATAAAAAATAATGAAATATTCAATCAAAGACCAATTAGCTCAAAATAAAAAAACAAAGTAAAATAATATCAAAATAAAAAAATCAAATCAAGAACTATAAGGTGAAATAACCATTTGTTGTAAATATAATGTGTATTGTAAATATAAGATGAATCCTAGCATTGCATTGGGGGTGAAGACTGAAGAGGTTGGCTTACTTGTTATGGGTAAATTGGGTATTTGAGTAAAGCCTATTCAAATAAGAAAACAGAGATCTTCTGAAACAAAAGCAAACATAAACGCAACAGACATGAGATAATATGCAATGTTGTTTTGTAATGTAATATAACAGTTAGCTTTTCAAGCGATTGATTGAAAGTTGAAACAGTGCACCAGAGCAGAAAAAACAGAGTTCAGGAAGAACCTCACTTCTTTGGCTCCAAGACCATCTGCTTTAGCGGGATCCATTTATGCTGATGTCAAGCTATTTTATATCTTTTGAACTCGAACAATTTATACTGAATCTGGGGTTATTTTAAATGATTGCAAGGTTTTTTATAACTTCTAAGCCTGATATAGCCATTAGACGGATTTATAAACAAACAAATATAGATGCTCCTTTCAAAAGGTATAGATTTCAAAAGGCATTTTTAAAATGGTAAGGATGAAATAATTGTAATTAATTTTTTCTAAATTATATTTAGAAATCTATATTTTTATGTTTAGAATGAAGAAGAAAATTTAAATTTCAATTCTATGATTTTAATTATATGAAATTTAAGATAATTACACCAAATTGCATAAAAATAGGTGGAGTTTTCAAATGAATTCAACAAAACGGACAAAATTGATTCCTGGTTTGTAGAAGTCAATTTTTCAAAATTTTTTACTTATTTAACTTGTTTATTTTATCAAATTTGACCACGAGCATTTAAAAAATTTAATTTTTTAGCAAAATATTTTTTATTATTATGATTGTTATTTTAATATTTTTATCTTTTATTTTAATATTTTTTAACATTACTGTGCTATTGAATAAAGAGATCCAAGTTAAATATATAACTATCACTAAATTAAATGATCCAAAGTTTAAATATATAACTATCACTAAATTAAATGAAAAGAATTTATTAAATAAACGTTTTTATTTTAATAAAAGTATAAAAAATTATATGGATAAAATTGATATTTATTTATTTATTTTATTAATAATTTCAAAAAGATAATTAAGAAATAAAAGTACATAAAATTTTCAAAATTATGAATTTAATTTTCAATTATGAATTTATTTCATATATTATTACATAAATTCAATTAAGTAATATATTTATACCATGAAAATTCATATTTAAATTAACTTATTTATTTTTTCAAAAAGAGAGGAAAGATTCTTATTTTCTTCTATGATTTTCACTTTTGGTCATTAAAGTAGATCAGAACAATTACCCAACTTTCCTACACGCGTTTTCTGTCTGACGCTTTTAACTGTGTGTAATCTTCTTCTTTCGGAGTCTTATCTCCAACTATATATCTGTAAACACTCTCTCTCTCTCTTTTTTTTTTTTTTTTTTGGTTTTTTATTCGAAGTAATATATTTATTTGGCTCTTCCTTTCTTCCGCTTCCCCACTGAAGAAACTGGAGAAGCGAAGTACGATGTGTTCCGTTTTTTTAATTTTATTGAGGTGAAGATGTCCGGGATGTAATTTCTCAGTCACCCTCCATTAAAGCTTTTTGAGTCAAAGCTTTGAGTCAAAATGAAATAGTTGCTTTTGTGGATGAAAAACTTGACAGGGGTGAAGACATCTCTTCATCCCTCTTGGCAATAATTGATAAATCATATATCTCAGTGGTCATTTTCTCGGAAAATTATGCATATTCTCCCTGGTGTTTGGATGAGCTTTTGAAGATACTTGAGTGCAACAAAACAATGGAGCAGATGGTCTTACCAGTTTTTTACCGAGTAGATCCAAGCCATGTTCAAAATCTGACGGGGAAATTTGGGGATGCCATAGCTAAGCATAGAGAAGAACCGGAGTATTTGCACAAGGTTGATAGTTGGTGCCAAGCTCTTAGAGAAATTTCAGAAATGTCAGGATTGGTTTCACAAAACATTAAGGGTACAATTTTTGTTCCTTGTCTATTATTTATTGTTATTATGATTCCTCTGAATTATTTTAAGCTTGTAAACCTAGTTTAGTATTCTTTTATAAATTTTTGTCTCTCACGATCACTTATATCGCTTTAGACCGCGGCTGTACCCTATTTTTTTTATCATTTTTAGTGTATTGGTCGTAATCTCCCATGGATATAAAACCAGGGTCTTGACTCCAAGTTTAATTGAGAAATTGTCGGCTATACCTTTGAAAGAAGAAACTAAATATTGTAATCCCCAAACCATGGAATAGTGCTAGCAATCTGCTCGGTAGATGGGTTAAGGTGTGACAAATTTGTTGCTTACACTAGAAGGTCAAGATTGTTGAGTCCGTGGGTAGCCTTGGGGTCCGCCAGATGTACGAGTGTAGGAATTTGGGGGATGTGTGGCTGGGGATCGTACTACCTCCCTCGCGGCCTCCGCGAATTAAACGCCCATACTGACAGCGGCTCGCTATTGGCCACCAATAGCAGCGGTGCTTTAATGTAGCTATGTAGTCTGGCCACGAATAATTTCTGTTCATTTAACAACCCGATGTTTTTGATTTGCAAATTGTTTTAAGGAAGATTAGAAAAATTGCACATCGGCTGCTTCTTCGATGTGTTATTTTGATGTAGAAAAGGACGTTTCATACACAATTCAGTCATGCGTTTTGAAGAATCTGTCTTTTTCTATGTGATACGCAGGTGGACATAGACTATAACCCAAGAACTTGCTAACAAAGTCTTATACGTCGTAAAGTACATTGTCTCTTTTTTCCAATAGACTAGGCTCTTATCAAGGAAAAAAACGTTTCTCGAGTTCTTGATATGTGGCCGATTTTAGTGCCAGGCAAGTTGGAACTTTTTTAATCCGGAAAGCATGCTGATTATGGTCAAGGGAGTAGAATATTTATGACCAAGAGATAGACCAGCTTAAGAACCCTGTCCGTGGCGCGTCGACAGTCCTCTGTCCCGACAATCCATACTCTAACGCTTCAAGTTTGAACGGAGCTACAATCTAATGCATGATAGATTTAAAATTCATAGAGCGATCCCAGTTTTGTGTACGTCTGGTTTGCCCCAGTTCTTGCGTATCAACATTCCGATCATAGAACTTACGGCCAACCTGATTTGCCGTGTTCCCAATGTCGACCACTCCTAAAGTATTCAGGAGAAGCGTGTCCCCAATATGTGCAATTGATTCATTCTTCGCGTACGCTCCCAGGCGCTGCAATTAAACGGTTGGCCTTATCCCCAACAGTTTTAGTTTCCAATTTGTATTCGGCGCGAGAGTGAATAGCATATCATTACTGTGAATCGCGTCTTAGTTGGAATTGGAACAATTAAAAGTGTATCTTGGTTTGCTTGGTTATACGAGTATCGACGCGCTCCATAACTAACGTGTTGGCGACTGTGAGACGTGTATCACATTGCACTTTTCGCGGGAATTCTTCCTGCTGTTAACGTTCCCGCGCAGGAGGACATATTCTTCCACCTAGCACATTATTGCGATGCATGTTAAAAGGTGTATCTGATGAAAAAATCAAGCGTATATTGAGAATAAGTTATGATGGACTACGTGAGAATGAAAAGGAAATCTTTCTTGCTATTGCATGCATGTTTAAAGGAGAAGATAAACATCGCGTTGAAAGTCTATTGGATGTCCTTGGTTCAAAATTTGGAATAAGTCGTCTCGTTGATAGATCTCTCATCACCATCACAATGAATCAGTTACATATGCATGACTTGCCACAGCAAATGGGCAAGGATATTGTTTGCGAGGAAAAACAGTTTGGAAAGCGTGGGTGGCTGTGGGATCCCAAGGATATATATTACCTGTTCACAAGAGCTGAGGCAAGAATCAATAAACTTGAGTAATATTATTGTTATATATTTTGAGCTTTATATAAAAGGTTACTACTTTTTAAGAAAAAACTTCAATTCTAATGACCTTTTGGATTTCTTTTTGCATGTATTTTGGCTATTTGTTTTCAGGGGACTGAAGCAATTAAAGGCATATCGTTGGACATGTCTACTGCCAAAGAGCTAAATTTAAAACCTACAGCCTTTGTGTTATTAATCTTTAAGTTTCGCAATTCTATTGCTTTCACTCAAGTAAAAAACAAAGTATACCTTCCTATAAATCCTGTTCAATTTTCTGCCAGAAGACCTAAGGTACTCCACTGTATCAATTCCCCTTCCCTTTAAAATCTTTGCCACTGGGTTCTTATGTAGAGAATCTGGTCGAACTTCGCATGCAGGAAAGCAAACTAAAAGAACTTTGCAGTGGAGTTCAGGTAGGATTTAGAATACTTCTTTGCAGGTAGTTTTTGTGAACCTTAGATATATGATTTTATTCTTACACTTCGTTTTCATTGCAGCAACTGGGAAATTTAAAATTCGTCGATCTCAGAAACTCTAAGGAGCTAATAAGAATTCCAGCCTTGTCTAAAGCCGCGAAACTTGAGTTTTTAGATCTGAGTTACTGTGAAAGTTTGGTTGAGTTTCCCTCTCCAAAATATTTGAGCAAGCTTACTCGATTGCGTCTAACGAATTGCAATAGTCTTTGCACCTTACCAAGCTTCCTTGATTTGAAAAGTCTCCAGGAATTTTGGGCCTTTGAATGCTTAAAACTTGCAGAGTTTCCAGAGTTCCCGTGTAACATAGAGGAGCTGCATTTGCAACGAACTAGAATAGAAAAGGTGCCGTCATCAATTGGGTCTCTCTCTCGTCTCTCCTTATTGTACTTGAATGATTTTACAATGCTTGAAAGTCTCCCAGACAGCATTTGCAATCTGAAGTCTCTACAGACAGCATTTGCAATCTGAAGTCTCTAACATACTTTCAAATCAGAGGATGTGTAAATCTAAAGAGATTGCCAGAAAACATAGGGAATTTGGAATCTCTAGGGGGCTTAGATGCAACCAATTCTGGTTTAATAGAACTACCAGACAGTATCTGCAATCTTAGAAAATTAGAAACTCTCCAGGTAGGGAACTGTGCAAATCTCCATAGTTTGCCAGAGAAATTGGGGGATTTAGAATCTCTAACGGAGCTTGGTCTTGAAGGTACTCGCATCAAAGGACTACCGTCTTCTGTCAATCTGTTGAGGCAATTGAGGTACATAAGGCTAGAATCTTGTGGCCTATTAGAATTTCCTAGCTGTCTTTGCCGTTCAGATTCATCACTGGAATGGTTACTGATAGGTGGGAATAATTTCGAGAGCATACCTGATTGCATCAAACAACTATCTAAGCTGCGTCATTTGAATTTTAGACAATGTAAGAGACTAAAATATTTACCAAGTGAGCTTCCATCTCTCTCGAAATTATATGAATTATACGGAAATAATTGCACTAGTCTGAAATCAGCATCCAGCTTATTCCAACTACCAGCTTACTTCCAACTCAGCAACATTGTTAGATTTGCATTGCTAATTTGCTTTCAATTGATTTGGCAAAGGTAATGAATTTTGATCATTTACTAGCCACACCTCTGCGAATGAAAGGAATAGAAAGGTATGCCTTTCTCCCTCTTCATCTGCTATATATATATATATATATATACCATTAATTTCTGTTCTCTGTAGGTTTTATCAAAGTGACTGCGATTTTCTTGGTACAGAACATTTTTTACCCTGGGAATGAGCTGCCACAAAGGATGATGTATCAAAATAACTGTGGATATTCTCTGAATTGGTCTTCATCATCCAAACAACACGAGAGGGTGCAATTTTGTCTCTGTGTTGTTATAGATCCAAAGTTTTTGGACCCTGTTTGGCATGGTGTATCAAGAATTGGTTACACGGTCTATATTTTCACGAACGAGACTGTGAAAGAACTAGATTATTTCCAGGTTAAGGAGATTATACCTCTGCGTTATGAATTTTTTTGTCCACTGTCAAGCAATGGTCTTGGTCCTTCATTTCGAACATTGTGGTCTTTTGGAGTGAGAGGAATTGAGCTCCCTTTAGATAACAAGAAGAACAGTCTTTGAATTCTGACGCTCTTAGATAGGGAATAATCGTCGCAATTCAAACCGCGATTTGTTAAGTGTTGGCGTCCATCCTCTCTTTAAGGCTAGTAAGTGGTGGAAGGTGAGGAGGACGAGGTTGAGGATGAAGAAAAGAAAAGATAAAAGAGAAAGATGAAGAGGTTGAGGATGTTGTAGTCTGCGGTGGAATTAGGGGGAGCCGGCCAGCCCAAGTATTTTGCAGAGGAACTCCAACTAAGCCGTAAGGCAACTTTTTATTTATTTATTTATTTATTTCTATGCTATAGCTTAACTAAAATTCCAGTTGAATCACCGGTAAGAATTGTCCCTTTGCTCAACTTATTTTTTAGTAGGACTTGTACTCGTAAGTGCATTACAAATGTTCACGTTGTCGTGTATGTATTAAACTTATTTTATATATTTTTTTTTATTTGTCAATAATTTAAAAGTGTAGTATGGTGGTGGTCTAGTTGGAGTGAGAGGAATTCTACCGACCACAATTGTTTTCACCAATTTAGTAAGTTTAAGAGGGAGAGTACTTTCTGTTGGTTAGCCCGTAGTGTTATTTCGGTCCATAAAGACCTCAAATGAATTAAAAAAAGCATGGCTTTGTAAATAAAACTTTGTTTATCAAATGAAAAGTATTTAATAATATTATGAAATTTTTATTTTATTATGACCAATCAAAGCTATAGAATCTTACTATTATAATTTTAAAACTTAACAAAATTATTGATACCATGTAAATATAGCATATATTTATATTTAATGGAATACATGTACACTGTCAGACTACAACCAGGAGGAAGGGCAATATCCCCTTAAAAGACTAGTTAGTGCATGTGTTTGGGCCTTCCGTTCCCACAAAAGTATTAAAAAAATATAATTATGTAGCATATACAGTTATATATAAAATAATTATTAAGCCAGTAAGAACATATTCTTGATAGAAAAACCAAAAAAATTATTGATAACAAAAATAAACAAATTCTTGATACCAAAAGCAATTTAAACTAAATATATATATGATAGGACAGTTTTTCTACAGTAGGATTTTAATTCAGCAATTCCTAATTAGAATGGAACAAAACTTCTTAATTAGTATTCTCAATATATAGTTAATTTAATATATTTATAGTATATAAAATTAGTTAGTATATAAAATAATATGTTATCAACTTATCCTTAATAAAATATATTTATTGTAAAAAATATTATTTATTTATTTACACCGATCAAACGTAATAAGAAGTTTTAGTAATAAAATAATATAATCAATGTCAATTGTGTTACCGATAATATTGGTTATATTATTTGTTATTAAATAGCTGTATGTAGTTGTATTATAACGATAGTCTTACACTCATATAGTTATCCTTTGTAACTACTCTATATACAGAGTTGTATAAATAGAGTTGTATTATTTAATACGAGATATATAGAAAACCCAATTCTTTCCACATTTACAAATTGTAAATAGTATTTGTGTAATCCTTGTTGTAAATAGTATTTGTGTAATCCTTGGTCTCATTTGATATTCGTAATTATATTATTATCAATGTTTATTATAATGTTATCATATTTAAAAAATAAATAGTATATAAAATGATATATTATTTAAAATAAAAAACTTTAATCATATTTTGCCACAACATAATTGCATATATAGTTTTATATTTAAATATATTAACTAAAAATTTATATTTAAATAGAAAAATTAATAAACTAATTAAAATTAAATTACCTTTAGAGGATGTATTATCTTAAGTTTCTTAAGTTCTCTGCTTCATTCTGCAGTGAAATCAAAGTATTCCTTCCTCATGGCGTTCATTTTCTTCCACGTGAACTGAGCTCTACTAGTGTTAATTTATTGAGGGATAATTATATTATTAGTTTCTGAATTTTCTATGTTTTTTCTATTTTAATGTCTCAACGAGAACAACAATGATTGAGTGTCTAAATTTATAAAATATTACAATTAGGTGTTTTCAATTGACGTGACATATTAGTGGGATCTAATTTTTATAACGTGACAGTTGACTCGACGATAATTACTTGACTTTTTGCCATGTAACTAGTTGCTAACTTAAAATTGGTCAAAAATTTAATAATTATGACATCAACAATACATTGCATCATCACATTGCTCTCTAACAGATTATTACTATCCGTCCATTCACCATAATTACTATAGTTGTGGGGCATATATAATTCCTGGAGCAAGAGATTCAATTAACCGAGATGCATAAGGAAATTTCACTTCAACCGCAAATAGGTTTAGCCAAGGTACTGTGCTAAAAGTATCGTCACAATAATAAGGGCACAATCAATGGGTAATGAGCAAATCTTGGCGTACAAAAGAAGATGGGCAAGCTGATGTTTGGACGGTGGAAAGTAGCTGAGGGAGGAAAAGAGAAGGAACGCAGAAGTGGAAATTTGGGTTGTTTTGTCTGTATACATTTAATATTAAATTATTACTAAGTCTAACCCTAATTGCGGTTTTGGGAATGACTTTTTCTATAACGCCTTGAATGAAAATTAAGACAATTAAATTTTTAAACACATAATAATTTAAAATATTTCATAATATTCTGTAAAAGATAATTATTTTTAAAATAATTTTTACAAAATAATAATATTTTCATCAATATTATGTCATATTTATATTCATAAAATTATAAAAGATAACTATTTATTATTTTTAATGGTTTTGTAAATTATTATTTTTTGTAAAAAGTTGTTAGGATAACAAAATATAGGCTCTGATTACCATATTTTGGTATAAATATAAAGCTATTGTTTTGACTCTTGTATAATTATTGTTATTTATTGTTTATTCATAAGTATAAAAGAATTCTTTTTTTTCTTTCTTGTAAGAAAGTATAATAAATTCTCTTATTTTTTACTATAACTGGAGATTGAGTTTTTTTTTAATTATATTAATATATAATTATGATATATTATATATATAATAATATTATATATATATTAATCAATAATTAAAAGCCTACAAATTAATTAGGCCTTTCAAAAAGTTCTTTAAAATTCAAATTTAAGTTCTTTTTTAAAAAATATACATGATAAATAGTTTATGACTTTCTTTTGTAGAAATTCTATTTCTAATCTATTTTAGCCCTTTGTATTAAAATTAAACTAAAATATTTTTTATTAGAATTATTATTATATTAAATTTATTTTTTATTTCTTATTTCTCTGTTTTGTAATAATTATTATTATAAATAATAATTTATTCGTATATATTGATATATTGGAATCATAAATTTATAAAAATTATCTATAATAATATACGGTTTAAAATTGTTTTAAATTATCTATCTAGAATTGTCTTAGGACATATTAAGTTAAATTTTATAATTAGTGAAATAAAATAATGTATAAATAATGGTATTATAATTTTTATAATATGATAATTTAATAATGCAAGAGGAAATATATCTTTTAATAATATACTAAATTCAATTTATAAAATATAATGTACAACATAAAACAACGAACCCTATAAACTGTGGGCCTTCAACTGGTTCTTAATAATTTGTAAAAAAATATTTTTGATAAAGTTGTCGGATTATAAAATAATAGCTCCGATTGTCAATATTTTATAATACTTTCTAATAATTTTTAAAAATTGGCTAAATTTGATAGAGTTACCAAATTAAAAAATAATAAGTAAAATTACCGAATTTTTATAACACTTTATACTTTGTACAAGGTGGTTATTTTTTATAAAACTGTCAATATCTTGTAATGCTTCCTAATATATAGTAAATGGTGATTATTTTCTGTAAAAGTTGGTGGTATATAAAATAATAGCTCTGATTACCATTATTTTTACAAATTTCTTAGAAATTTGTAAAGCGATTTTTTTATTTATAAAATTCTAGGATTACAAAATAATAGTTCTAGTTACCATTATTTTTGTAATATTTTCTAGAAAGTAGTTGTTTTTTTAAAATTCCGATGAATTGTAAAATTTATAACTTTTTTATTAATATTTTGTAATGTTTTTATGTATTTTGTAACGAGTGATTTTTTTTTTTAAGTTGCTGATTTATAAAATAATAAACTCAAATTTCAATAATTTGTAAAAATTTCATGTTGTAAATCTAAATAGTAATAATTTCCTTCCTTTGCCTAAAGAAGACTTTATCGCGGTTCCCATTTGTAAGATGTGGCAGAACCTTCTCAAATAACCAAGGAAATAAAAAATTTCCCAAATTTTGACTTTAAACCCCCTTATTTGAAACAAATAAAGTTGAAATCTTGCAGTGATTTCTGCTCTGATGCTTTTATGTGTTTCATCTCCTTCCTTCGGAGTGATTGCAGTGGAAATCTTGGAGTCTTATCTCCAACTATATATCTGTAAACTCTCTCTCTCTTTTTTTTTTTTTTTTTTTTTTTTTTTTTTTTTTTATCAGAGTGTTAATATATATGGATTCTTCGTCCACTTTCCCCACTGAAAGAAACTGGAGAAGCAAGTACGATGTGTTCGTTAATTTTAGGAGGGAGAGATGTTCTGGGATGATTTCTTCAGTCACCTCAAAAGCTTTGAGTCAAAATGAAAAATGGTTGCTTTTTGTGGATGAAAAACTTGACAGGGGTGAAACATCTTCTTCATCCCCTACTTGCCATAATTGATAAATATATATCTCCAGTGGTCATTTTCTCGGGAAAATTATGCAATGAAAATTATGCATATTCTCCCTGGTGTTTGGATGAGCTTGTGAAGATACTTGAGTGCAACAAAACAATGGAGCAGATGGTCTTACCAGTTTTTTACCGAGTAAATCCAAGCCATGTTCAAAATCTGACAGGGAAATTTGGGGATGCCATAGCTAAGCATAGAGAAGAACCGGATTATTTGCACAAGGTTGATAGTTGGTGCCAAGCCCTTAGAGAAATTTCAGAAATGTCAGGATTGGTTTCACAAAAGATTAAGCAAGTACAATTGTCCTTATTTTATTATTTTATGTTTATATGATTCCTGAATTTTATTTTAGCCGTAAACCTAGTTAGTATTCTTTATAAATTTGGTTACCTATTTTTTTTATATTTTTAGTGGATGATTGGTCGTACCTTCCATGTATATAACCAGGTCTGACTCCAAGTTAATTGAGGAAATTGTCATCTATACTTTGAAGAAACTAAATATTGTGTATCCAAGTGGTGCTTATGATGATGGGTTAGTTGGAATTGATTCACGAGTCAAGATTGTCGAGTCATTGTTATGCCTTGGGTCGCCAGATGTACGAGTTGTAGGAATTTGGGGGATGGGCGGTATCGGCAAAACAACCATTGCTAGACAAGTGTTTGATAGAATTTAGAATTTCTGTTCAATTTACAACCCGAGTGTTTGTGGCAATGTTAAGGTAAGATTAGACGTAGAAAGGAAATTCTTTCTGATCATCATATTAGAGAGCAAGAAAATTCAGTAAAATCGTATACAGTTGTTCTTCATAGACGGTAGGCTCTCAAGAAAAAACTCATAGTTCTTTTGATGATTGTGGATGATTAGTCACAAGTAGAACTTTTAATCGGGAAAGCATGCTGATTATGGTCAAGGGAGTAGAATAATTATGCAAAAGCAAGAGATAGACCAATTTGCTTAAAGAACTGTGGGCCACCAATTATGGAAGTTGAGAAGGATTGAAATAAAAGTGAAGCTTCTCTGCCGTTTGCAAGCATTTCCTTCAAGCAACAATTTCCAAGAACAGGATATTTTGAGTATGTCCAACTATTGGCCAAATTGATCATAGCTCAGGGGCATTCCATTGGTCTCAATACAGTTTTAGGTTCCAATTTGTTATGGCAAGAGTGAAAGAAGTATGGGTAGATGAATTGGAACAATTTTAAAAAGTGTATCTGATGAAAAAATCACAGCATATATTGAGAAAAGTTATCGATGGATATATTGAGAATAAGTTATGATGGACTACGTGAGAATGAAAAGGAAATCTTTCTTGCTATTGCATGCATGTTTAAAGGAGGAGATAAACATCGCGTTGAAAGTCTATTGGATGTCCCTGGTTCAAAATTTGGAATAAGTCGTCTCGTTGATAGATCTCTCATCACCATCACAATGAATCAGTTACACATGCATGACTTGCTACAGCAAATGGGCAAGGATATTGTTCGCGAGGAAAAACAATTTGGAAAGCGTGGGTGGCTGTGGGATCCCAAGGATATATATTACCTGTTCACAAGCGCTGAGGCAAGAATCAATATATTTGAGTAATATTATTGTTATATATTTTGAGCTTTATAAAAACGTTACTACTTTTTAAGAAAAAACTTCAATTCTAATGACCTTTTGGATTTCTTTTTGCATCCTTTTTGGGATAATATTTTTTTTTTTATTTTTTCTTTTGCAGTCTATTTGAGCTGTTTGAGTTTTCAGGGGTACTAGAAGCATAAAGCATTCATTGAAGCATGTCTACTGCAAAGCAGCTAAATATACTAAACCTAGAGCCTTTGAGCGAAAATGTATAATCTTTAACGTTCTCATCTACCTGCCTTCAAACATCAGTAAAAATCAAAGTATCAACCTTCCTAAAGGCCGTCAAGTTTTATTTCTGCGAAGAGACTAAGAGTAAATTCCACTGAGGTATCAATTCCCTTAAAATTTTGAGCCATGGGATCTTATTAGATAAAGAATTTAGTGACTTACGCAATGGCATGAGCAACTAAAAGAACTTATGCAGTGGAGTATTCAAGTAGGATTGAGTATAAAATAAGCTCTTGCAGGTGTTTTGCGAACCTTAGATAATAATCCTATCTTCATATCTTACACTTCACTATTTTCATTGCACGCAACTGAGGAAATTTGAAAATTTAGTCGATCTCAACGGGACTCTAAGCAGCTAATAAAGAATATTCGAGACTGTCACAAATAGGCCATGCAAACTATAGAGTATTTAAGAATCTGAGTTACTGTGAAAAGTTTTGGTCTGAGTTTCCTCTTCACAAACTATATGACAAGCCCTTACTCGAATTGTACATAACGGGTTGACAATAGTCATTTTAGCACTTTACTAAGCTCCTATGAATTTGAAAATCTCAAAGGAGAATTTAGGCCTCGTGGAAATGCATTAAAACATATAGCAGAGTTTATCCAGAGTTTGCGTGTAACTAGAGACAGCTAATTTATTGCACGAACTAGAAAAAAACGGTGTCAGCAACCATCAATTGGGTCCTCTCTCCGTCTTTCCATCACTTACACTGAGTGATTCTACAATGCTTGAAAGTCTCCCAGACAGCAGTTTGCAATCTGAAGTCTCTAATGTAAACTTTTAATCTCGGCGATGTGTAATCTAAAGAGATTGCCAAGAAACATACGGGAAATTTGGAATCTACTAACACAGCTGACTCTGGAAGTAACTTGTATCTAAAGGCTACCGGAGTCTATCTGTCATTCTGTTGAACTATATTAGAGGTCATAAGGCATAGAATCTTGTGGCTTCAGATTTTTATCCTACTGTTCTTTGTCCATTCACAGGAATTACATTAATCAGAATTTCCTAGCTGTCTTTGCCATTCAGATTCATCACTGGAATGGTTACTGATAGGTGGGAATAATTTCGAGAGCATACCTGATTGCATCAAACAACTATCTAAGCTGCGTTTTTTGAGTTTTAGACAATGTAAGAGACTAAAATATTTACCAACTGAGCATCCATCTCTCTCGAAATTATGTAAAATATACGGAAATAATTGCACTAGTCTGAAATCAGCATCCAGCTTATTCCAACTAGACAACATTGTTGCATTTGAAGTTGCTAATTGCTTCAATTTGGATTTGGGTAAGTGTAATGAATTTGTGGATCATTTACTAGCCTTTCTCCCTCTTCATCTGCTATATATATATATATATAGATATATACCATTAATTTCTGTTCTCTGTAGGTTTTATCAACTCTGTAGGTTTTATCAAAATAACTGCGATTTTCTTGGTACAGAACATTTTTTACCCTGGGAATGAGCTGCCACAAAGGATGATGTATCAAAATAACTGTGGATATTCTCCGACTTTGTCTTCATCATCCAAACAACACGAGAGGGTGCAATTTGGTCTCTGCGTTGTTATAGATCCAAAGTTTTTGGACCCTGTTTGGCATGTTGTATCAAGAATTGGTTACACAGTCTATATTTTCACGAACGAGACTGTGAAAGAACTAGGTTATCTCGAGGATTATGAATTTTTATGGCCACTGTCAAGCGATGATTTCGTCCTTTATTCAGAACATGTGATCTTTTTGGAGTGAGAGAATTGAGGTCCCATGGATTAAACCAAGGTAATGCAGAACAATAGAAAATCCTAGCTAGCTACAAAGATAAGATAAACAGCAATAGAACGTATTTGATCTAGTCATATTTAAATACAACTCAAATACCATGGATAAATTTTGTTGCAGCTGTATTTAAATACAACTCAAATACAATTTGGATAATTATTATTATTTTATATATATAAAGTTCAACAATTTAAATAATTTAATATAGATAATTTATAGGAAAATATTAGCTAAAATATTGTCCAATCACCACGGAAAAATTTCAAAAATTCCTAAAAAGAGAAAAATAGAAAGTTGGACAAAGAGAGAGCGTTGAATCTTATCTTGTTTCAGCTTTCGTGTATATATATATATAGATGGTACAGTAACTGATGCACGAGATCAAATACTTCATGAAATATTAGAGGATGACAAATTGAAGATACGACAGCCCCTTTGTTTCACAGTCTTTCATTTTCAGAAGGCTTCGGAAAAGAAAGGTTCTCATTGTCCTTGATGATGTGAATGATGAACGCCAAAAAGAAAGGTTCTCATTGTCCTTGATGATGTGAATGATGAACGCCAAATAACGCAGCTAATTGGACAGTGTAATTGGTACGGTGCAGGAAGTAGAATTATTCTAACAAGCAGAGAAAGGCAGTTGCTTAGAAGTGCATGTCGAGGAGAATTTATAAATGAGGTTAAAAATTTAACTGATGATGAAGCTCTTCAACTCTTCAGCCAAGATGCCTTTAAACAAAATCATCCCATGGATGGGTTTATGAAGCCATCAAAAAGAGCAACAGAATATGCTTGGCGCCATCCATTAGCTCTTAGGGTTTTAGGCTCTTGTTTATATAACAGAAGTCCAATAGAATGGGAAACAATTTTAAATAAACTGCAATATTATTTCCAGTGACATCAATCCAATCCTGAGAATCAGTTATGATGGGCTAGATCTGAATGAGAAGAAAATTTTTCTGGATATTGCTTGCTTTTTTAAAGGAAAGTGTAGAGATCGTGTAGAAAATATATTAAATGGTTGTGGTTTTAATGCATCAGTTGGGATATCCATTCTCCAGGAGAAGTCCATGGAATGCTTGATTTGCTATAGGTGGCAGAAAATTTGCGTTCATGAATTTGCCAGCATTAGGCTGTGCTCCTGCTATTAGAGTACTTAAACCAGACAACAATGGCAGATGCTTAGAAGAAACTTCATTGCTGGCATCATTACATAATGAAGCTCTCTCCAACCTCCTTTTTAAACTTGAAAAGCAATTGAAGGGATTCAAATATTCATTCTTTGACTTCAGAACCAGTATTCAACAGAGAATGAACCATCCTTCCAAATATGGTATGTGCATAAAAAATCTACTTTGTTTTATTGATAAATTACCACTTAGTTCCTATAATTTAGTAATTTTACGACTCAAAACTTCTATCTTCAAAATAATTATATTATTCCTCTATTTCCTTCTTGTTAAATTGAGATGACATATCGATTTAATTATTATATAATAAACATGAACAAAAATTTGATGTTCATTGTTTTAAGTTGATAATGATTATGATATTATGTCAAGCTCTTTATGTTCTTTTGTTTTTGGTGATCAGATGACAGATACAATAGAAGGCATCTCAGTAAATATGTCTAAAATTCCAGATGTACATTTATCTGCTCGTGCTTTTGAAGGGATGAATAACCTTAGAATCCTTAAATTCTATAATCCTTTCTAGAAATGGAGGGTACTTTTTGGCCTGGTATATCAACTAAGCAGCGCACCTCATTGCTGCTAATAGGATAAAACAGGATGGGCGATGGGTCCGCTAGAATAACGTGTCCGTGATTTGCATGAGGAAGTTCACAGTTCTCCAGTGCCATAGCAACGAAACAAGAAGGGCTATCAACCTGTAGAATTTGCAGTAAGTTTTAACTTCAGTATTATGAATTGTAAAGGGCATACAGAGCACAAGGTTTACTCAGCAGAAATACCTTTGAGCTGCAGAGAGAGCGTTGGAAATTTGAAAAGCAACCATCACAAACTACTGTGAGGGGAGCATGAGCAGTCAGCTCTTCACCATTTCTAGTTTTGTAATTTACCCCTTTAACATTTTTCTAGTTTTGTAATTTACCCCTTTAACATTTCCATTTTCCTCAAGAAGTGATGTTACTGTTCCTTGCTCCAATCTTACACTACATATATAAGGAAAAAGAAAGAGAATGGTGAATAACATATAGGCTGAGCCTATATTTGTGAGTTTCTGTTCATTTCCTTGAAGCAGAGAACGGGGAAAAACTGAAAATGTATGAGAAGGAAGATTACTTAGGAAGAGATGCAGCCTTCTCTCGCATTCTTTGTATGAAACGTCCGTTGTGGAAGCTTCTTCCAGCCACATTTGAATTATGAAAAGCCTTCAGAGGATATGACAGCTTGCTACTTTTTCTACTATTGTCCATACTTGAAAATAATATCCAAAATTTGCTGGAGCATCAATCTGTTCTACACAATCCCTGCACATCATTAACTAATTGAGTAAAATTGAAACTGCTAATAAATCTTCTGAACATAACAGACACTTCCGATGTGCTGAATTTTCCATATACCTCAAGACCCAACCAATCAATTTAAGAATACCCGCCGGGCTGCCACAGTTTCACTCATAACACCTCGCTAATCTAGGTGCCTCTAACTGTGAACTGTCTCGTGCGCACTACTATTTGAGATCTCTGAGCCTCACCACTAAACTATGACAATCTGTAATAATAACTCACGAGTTAAATAGATTTCACCAAGTATAGTGACCCCAAATGAGTAGCGTGCACCGTGAAATGGAGATAAGTCATTGGATAATTTATGCGTTCTCATTCTAACAAACAACCTCGTTATCGAGTCTTTCAGACTGCTAGATTAGATGAGCGAGTGCTAAGAAGATGCACATATAGTGTGTGAGCGCTTGCCTCAAGTAAGCTATATACAGAGTAGCTGACCTATATATTTCACGGAAATATATTATAGTTGAGGTACATCTAGGTGTGTTCGCTCAGGTCTCTCAAGCCACTCAAGGGTATTTGCTTATACCAGCTTTAACAGTAATTTTTCTTTTATGCAACACGTCTTCCTCAATTCCATCTTTAAAAAGTTATTACACAGGGGTATATGTCTCAAGTACTCTATACTGGAGTACTGCATCTCTAATACTATAAGACGGATACCCAGTACATGCCCAAAGAGGAAGGCTTGATTTGGTCCTCTCATTTACAATCTCGAATATATTCACGCACACTGTCGGAGGTATGCGGTCACTTGTTAGTTATCCACACAGGAACTTTCCTGTTCATCTCTCTGAGAAGTTTCTCTAATCATCAGTATTGCGATTTGACTATGTTCGGACATGATTATCATATCCAAGGTTAACTGTCAAGCACCGCCCTCTTGCAACAATCTAACAGACGTCCAGATCCGAGAACTCTCATGGGACTAAACAAATAGGCTATAAGCAAGAAGGAGAACCCACGTAGACACACAGTCGAAAGAGTTCACACATAGAATCCTACCTATAAACGATTTAATCGCTCATTCTGAAGATAATGTTTTCATGTCAACGGTATAAACGGCTTGCGAGCGAGGTGGCTTTCTGTAAATAACTAGGACTCTATTTTTTCATATAGAGTAGAATATAATTAATGTGATAATATTGCGTTTTTTCGCACCGAATATGTTACAATAACTAAAAAGCATCCATTTATATTGAGAGTTAAAAAAATACAATATATAATACAGAAGAGTAGCCAAGATAGTCAATGAGAAGTGTGAGTTTTGATTTTATGAGTAGAGAGCCGAGTGAGTGAAGTTCTATAGTGGATATATATAGCAATAAAAATCATACTATACCATAATATACTTGGAGAACAATTTGGCACGAGAGAGAGAGAGCAGATTTACGCACTCTGAACCCAGTACTATATTCTTACGAGCACTCAGCGCCAACCACAGCGCAAGGAGAAGTTAGTCAGACTAGACCCAGAAACGATAGCCGATGAGCATGATTATATCTACGGTGATCTCATATATCTGATATAAAATATATAGAGACACTCTATCTTCAGTGAGTTCACAGATGCAGCCGTTATATACAACCACCACTCCCTTCTACTATACACATCAAGGAGCGCTATATAGTTCGACACTCACCGAGACGTACTCCCTGTTGAAGACTTGTAAAATCACACCATTTTAGCTTGGTAGGCTGTGTTCATTCTACACGCGTTGCTCGACGCTTCCGACGTTTCACGGCGTATTCTGCGATAATCAAGTAATCACGTACCAATACGTGTTAACTCTACCATTACATACACTTACTATCGTAGTTGTGATACGTGTTCACTAAGGAGAGAGAGAATAAATAACAAACAAGGCGTCACATCCGAGTGGTGTCAGACGGATATCCTACAGAGAAGAATCACACCACAGCTTCTGAGTTACATCCTACTTCGCCAATGATAATTAACAAATAAGGATCGGCAACTAATGACAGAGTAGTCGTGACAAGGATATATCGCATAACTTCTTTTGATTTAGATTTTTGAGAATGATCCCGCAAATAATATTAACATTCAAAATCCGAAGATTACTATGTTAGAATCCTGAGAGACAAGCTATAAAACTCCTTACTCAAACTTATTACATTCAAGCATACATTCCCTAACCCATGCCTTCACACCATCAGTATGTACAAAATAAGATCGATAAGAGAAAAATGAACACCACTATCTCACACACACCAGAGACAGTATTGAAAACGCAGCTCACGGTCCTCATGTGATAAGAAATGTTATGAAAGAAGAGCCCAAAGGAAATGGTCAAATATTAGTATATACTCAAAAGCATCCCTCCCCAAATCACTAATAACAAAAAAATATTCTTCCATTTATGTTAGAAATGAAGCTTCATTGGAAATTAACAAGTATACATTGAGCAATCAAATGGTAATTCCTCACAAAGCATACTTCCTTAAAGGCCAACTTACCAAATGCTCTTAACACTACATAGTAAACTCACTCCAAAGCATAGGTTTTCTCCATATAATTGCCAATCAGAATGAAACTATAATCCACTCAAACCACCAACAGCATATTCATCATACATAGAAGAACATCTGAGACAAGGAAGGAGAGAGAGAGAGAAGAGAGAGAGAGAGAGAGGGGGGGGGGGGGGGGGGAGGGGGCAGGGAGGAGAGAGGTTTCTTTCAAGGCCCTATTTAATCATACAACCATCAATGTCATTCAACGCTATGACCACCAAACATATAACAAATACAAAAATGAAAAAAGAACCGATGAAACTATAAGCCTTAACAAATTACAAACCAAACCTATAAAAATATCCCTCAAGGAGCCACAAGAAGGGGTCCGCTTGCTTCAAATTAATAACATCAACATCATATAACTTTAATCCTTGAAGCATAACAACATTAATGTAAGTTTTCAAAATAAGGTCCTTAAACTCCCCGCCATTAAAAAGATACCACCAAGATTCTAAAAATTGTTATCACAGTGTCCCCGTATCGAAGCATATTAGACTGTGAGGGCTAGGGATACAATTAAAAAAATATGCAAAATGACTCAAATTTATTACTTAACATATATAAAAAAGCGAGAGCCAGTGCATGAAGTATCCCACATTTGTGGGATCTGAGGAGGGTTGATGCATACAACCTTCCCCATTCTTTTTTATGTGGCTTGAAAACCAATGAACTCCAAGGTACAAGTGAAACTAACCTATACTTAATTAAATGTACCTTGGATAATAACTGTAGAAGTACATATAAATAAATTATGATTACATGTGACTAACTAATATACGTGGATAATATTATAGAGAGTTAATTATATTTAGTGGGAATAGATGGATCCAAATGAAGCCCCTATTGATGGTTTTAAGAACATAAACCAAGTATAAGTTTACTATTAACTGCCATTTCAATGATTTGTTTTGAGGTTGAGAAACATATATTGTCACCTATAGAGGTAATTAAAAAGCCGTCTAGACTCCTTTTGTAATTGTCAAGACACACACAACC